GCAAGGACATGCATGCAATGCTGGATTTCGTCTACAACGTGCCCTCATCAACAACAAACAGTTATCTGATGTTTCTCAGCTTGTTGCTGTCTGCCACGCGTATCTTTTGCAAGCTGACGGTTGAAACATGTAAACTTCCCTGAACAGCTATCATACCACGAACCGAATCCCTGGTAAACACACAGAAACACAGACACAGGTCTTTCAGGGTACTACTACTCTTGCATTCAGGGTGCTATCATACGGGTCCCTTCAAGGGTACTACAAGGGTCCTCTTACCCCGAAAGGATCTAGAAAGTAGATCCCCTAATTTTGGGCCCTATGCTACTAAGGGTACTTTATAGGAAGCCCCATTAAGGTTTCTACTTTTTGGATCTCCCCGGAAAAGTCTGGGTAAGGAAGCGGGCAGCGCAGTCCTGAGCGGAGGCGAGTTTGGCGGCCTTGGCCTGCTGTGCCAGGAACATCACCATGTCCTTGGACTTAGTAAGTAAGGTGAAAAGTACTAAGTAGTTATAAGTACAGTTACCTTAACTATAACCCTACCGTCAGCGAGGGAACGAGTTGGGAGTTTCCGAAAACAGGTGACCCCAATATGGTACCCTGAATAGTAGGATTCTTGTTGTTACATGTCCTTGGCGTCAGCGAGGCGAGGGAATCAGTCAGGGCAGGTTCATGTAGGGGCCTCAATAATTAAGTAGGGTTTTGGGGCCCATTATACTATAACTATGATAATCCCCAAAGATAGTATAGGTAATTATTTTGGCTTCTATAGTAGGGCCGGTTAGGGTTCGGGATTCTGGGGGCAGGGTCTTGGCGTCTCCAGATCTTTCTGGGCTTGTAGATTTGAGGTTAAGTTTCAAGAGCATGGAGCCGCTATGTGTCGGGCCTAAACACAGGCGGGCGACTTGCACCGTGCAGGACTCATTCAAGATCATGCTTCGAAGATGGTGCATGCTAGGATTCATTCGACACAACCCCGGAGAAAGTGATACATGAGTAGCCCGGAAACTGTGCCTGTTGGGGGAAGCCGCTTGACTCCAACAGGTTCTTGTGCCTAGGCTCTTCCATCTGTGAAGTTTTCGCTCTCACCTTCGCGAAGTCACGACACGCTCCACAAAGTTTGGACGGCACGTGGTCGTCACAGATTCACACTTGGTTTGCTGGAACGGTCACTGACTTGCTTCGCTGTTCTTGCTGCATCGTACGGGTTGACTGGCATGTCGGATTTCTGGAGCAGAGATCTGCGAGCAGCTTCCAGAATTGCTCTTCGAACTGCTGGCGGAACCCTGAATCCCGAATACACAAACTTTCCAAGTTCAATGCTCTTTCGAGGACGCAGCCAGCTTGACACTGCTTGCAGCATCCCAAGTTTTGGTCCAATCACGAACAACATCGTGGCCATGAATGCAATCGCGACGGTGACCAAGTGCTGCTGATAGTAACTACGACGATGGTCGGGCTCATAACGACGACGACGGTGACGGTGCTGCGGATGTTTGATGCTCAAGATGTATCGTGTTGATGTTGGTGGTGGTGTTTGTTGAGATCCTAGTGGGGATTTGAAGGCGACAGTCACGGTGACGAGGATGTTGATCAAGTGATACTGATGCTGGCGATGGTGATGGAGGAAACGGCGACAATAATGGTGATGACGGTAATGAGGCGATTGTGAGGATGATGTTGAAGACTATGTTCACGAGGAGTCAGTGTGTGAGTGTGAGTGTGACCGTTTTGGGGGGCGGGGGTGGCGGGGATGGGTGCATTCGTGAGAGAAACAGAGAGAGAGAGAGAGAGAGAGAGAGAGAGAGAGAGAGAGAGAGAGAGAGAGAGAGAGAGAGAGAGAGAGAGAGAGAGAGAGAGAGAGAAAGAGAGAGAGAGAGAGAGAAAAAAAACAAAAACATCCGTCTTTTTAAGAGATAAAGAGAGAGACAAAGCAACGACAACAAAGAGGGAAAAGAAAACGGAGGAAGATGTTCGGAGGGTGATTTGCACTCCTTTGTACATGCAAGTAGGGCTTTCGGGCCAGGCCTGGCTGGATCTGGAATCCTTGGTCGTCGAAGCTTCTAGAAGCTTGAGGATGCCGTCCTCACTGTGACAGGTCGGGTTCGGGATTTATGGGGGTTATGGTTTAGGGTTTCAGAATAGGGATGGTTCAGGATTTCCTGGGATTTAAGCTGAAGGGGGTTTGAAAGCTTAGAGGTAGAACGACGTAGAAGCAACCGACGTCCTTAGGCAAATGCCTGGATTTCCTGACAGAGTTCTTCCACGATCCAAGCCAAAGTGCCGCTGGAATCTTTTCCTAGTCTTGCAACCTGAGCTCTATGTTCAGAGGTGGCGATCCGTAATCCATGCCTTCGGCACCTCATCCCGCAGTTGAGATCTCACGGTTAGAGAGACATATTTCAAATAAGAGTTTCAGAGAGACATATCTTAAATAAGAGTTTCGAGGCCATAGAGTCATAGAGAGATGTCGCCTCATCGAGGCCCCGAGTACAGGGAGAGGCGACGGTCCTGTTGGAGGGCACCGGACTCCGCAGTCAGCTTTGTGGCGAAAGCTGCGGCCAGCAAGGAAAGGATCAACGCTGATCGTGAGATCATAGCTACCTGGGCTCATGCATGATTGCAGCATCCAGATTCCAGCTACATGTTTCGCACGCGGAGCCTCGAACCTTGAGCCTTTCAGGGCGTCCCAAATCTTGGATGGCACGCGGTGACTACAGGTTGTAAGGCACTGCGCTCATAAGGCTGGCTTGCGAGCGATGCACTATGTATACTGCTCAACATGCGCAACACAAGGCAATCGCTTCAATCACATCAAAGATACCTGTCGGTAGCACCAGAATTCCAGTGATGCTGATGAGACACATGTCGACCACGATATCACCACTGACTCGCGCTACGATGCAGACTCTGCTCTTTTCAAGGGTATGCAGCTGTCTGCATTCCGGGCAATGCCCACCGTGAACATCGATTGCACTGATTGCACTTGTACCCGAAAACATAAACCCTAAACCCGTAAACCTTTAAACCTTAAACCTTCCATCATCTTCCATCCGTTCCGGGCGAGCGGCAAGGATGTCGGGGGCTGGAGCGGTACCTCGTTTGTCATTTCGCGACTGTGCCGAAGAATCGAGATGCAGCGGCCATAGTAAGTTTAAACCTGACTCGCAGTGACATATTATGTACTGCTGCTTTCGACAGTTCATCATCGCCTTAATCATGGGAGTACTTTGATTACTACTCGGAGCAAAACGTAATTGTGCTATTCCAACCGTGGCGATGTCTATTTCCAGCATGATCTCTGATAGAGATTATTTATCAGAAGTAGCAGCAGCAGGCGTAGTACCAGGTGTGGCAAGCGTCCTCGCATGATGAAGATGGTGATGAAGCAAATGATGATTATCAGTAGGTTGCAGTAACAATAGCGCAAGGAGGAATAGGAGCAAGAGTGGAAGCACAGCAGTAGTAGCAGCAGCAGTAGTCGTAGTAACGGTAGCAGTCGGAATCAGTAGTCGTCGCAGGCGTAGTAGTAGTAGTAGTAGTAGTAGTAGTAGTAGTAGTAGTAGTAGTAGTAGTAGTAGTAGCAGCAGCAGCAGGAGTAGTATAGTAGTAGTAGTAGTAGTAGTAGTAGTAGTAGTAGTAGTAGTAGTAGTAGTAGTAGTAGTAGTAGTAGGTGTAGCAGTAGCAGCTGGAGGAGGAGGAGGAGGAGCAGAATCACCAGCAGTGATAGTGGCGGCTGTGTTGTCGTGGTAGCTAATGGTACATAGAACTACTGCTTGCTTATGACATTTTGCTCCTACAATAGCAGCACTAGTCACTAGCAGTCTCACCTGTACGGGTTGCAGCATGGAAAAGACCATGACTCTTCCTTTACTATACTTCCGTTGTTCGGCTTCAAGCACCAGCCCTAGTGTCGAATGTGTAGCCTTGTCAAGTCTGCAAGGAACTGAAACCCAGCGGAGTAGCATAATGCTTCCTGGTACCTGAAACATTAAGACTTGAGAGTACAAGCTGATTTGTGTTCCGTGTTTCGGTGTGATCCTATCCTTGCAACAGGTTAGAAAGCCGATGGCTGAGGCTCTGGTTATGGGATTCAAATTGGAGGAAAGCCGTGCATTCCCAACACCAACGTCCCGAGCACCACCAACTTTGATGATCTTTGACGTGACATGTGTCCTGTCAACTCCTGGCACACCTGACATAAGACTGAAGCCCATAAGATCCGTGACCGAAATCAAACCCCAAGGCCCCAAGCCCGATCCACCTCCAGCCTAGGATGCATCTGAACGCCCTACGCCCGCGCTCCCATTAATGCGTTTCTGGCAAGCAGCTACAGCAAACAAACCTCAGCTGTAGAGGCCAGCCAAATCTGCATTGACTGATGGAGCCGAAAAAAGGGCTGCAGACAAAAAGGCATCAATCCAACCAAATGCACGACAATTGTACCAAAGCCCATATACACGTAACAAGGGCAATAGGCTGCCGCAGTGATGAGGACCATCATGTTTTCGGTATACTTCTGCACAGTAGGGCCGCGATGGCTAAACCTCAGCATTGCCTAACACAAGACATCGTGTCCAAGGCCGAACGACAAGACCAGCATGTGTGCCCTGCTTTGAGAACAAATCCGGACTTGGACTCGAAATTTCCTGTAGTTTCTTTCGACTTCAACAGCTTTACGGCGATCCTCTGGTGCAAAGGTCACCCAAGTCGTCACAATGCTAACATGATGCAGTGGATATGAGAACCGAAGGGTCTGCGGTGTATCTCCTGAGTTATGCTGCGGCGAGGCTATATGAAGGGGCCACTGAAACAAGGAAAGGTGTGCAGTTCTGAGAACAGCTGTTCGAGTCCGAGTTTGTCTTAGAAGATGCACAAGCATGACATGTCAACGTGGTACAATGACACCTTCGGCGCAAAACATTCAGATGGTGCTGTGCAGAGTCGCTCAATAAGTCAGCCTGATGGAAACTGAAAAAAGCCGGCAGTGGGACTCTGGCGTTCTCCTGGAAGCATTGTTTGACACGCTGCTGCACATCCTGGCACAAGCATGGGTTGTGGGCAGTAGTGTTCGTGGAGAACTAAGGAAATGGCTGGAATGCTCTGGCCGAGGTTGCTTCCTGGCAGCAGCCAATGCGACTACTCAGCAGCAGCAGCAGCAGCAGAAGCAGCAGCAGCACCACCACCACCAGCTGCAGCAGCAGCACCAGCAGCAACACCACCGCCACCACCGCCACCCAGACCAGCAGCTGCAGCAGCACCACCAGCAACGGCAAGAGCAGCAGCAGCAACAACAAGAAGCAACGGCTTCAACTCCTCCTGCTGCTGCTGCTGCTGCTGCTGCTGCTCGCCTATAACCGTGCTGTCGTTTGTTATCACAAGCGTATTCTTACATATCAATGCTACATCGATCGAGACTTACATTGACACCGGGCGCATCTTCTCACATCTAATGAATCTCAGCCCCACATGGATTTCCAGACCGTTCACTGTGTCACTTTGTCCTATGAACCGACGCCAGATTCGAACACTACCTTCGGCTGCTCAGCGCCTGGAAGAAGGCCTGGAAGACGTCGTTCAAAGTCTCGACCTTGGCAGCATGCGAGCATCAAAGAGCTCGAAGGCCCGAGTTCTAAATTACATGGGCTTCGTGATACATGAAGCGTCTGAATTCATGTGTGGCTGCAGAGGGTGAGAGCCTTGATTGCACTTCCAAGATACACTGCGCTTGTGTGGATACCCTCGCACAGCTTTGGGACTGCATCTAACGTTCGGGGTGCCATTGTCTTCTAGGTCTAGTGTCAGCCAGCCAGCATCAATTTCCCCAACCTATACGTTTCAGTTCACGGGCGAATGTGGGTTGCGACTGACCCCCTAATACCCAACATCGTCATTAAGCATGTACGGTTTGCCCTTTCAGGTATACCGCCCAACATATTTAAGTCTAAGCCTGTAAGCCTTGCCCCACAATGCTTGCTAGCACTCTGCTCATAGTAAAACCTCTTGAGAAGCATGAGCTGCTAACTTTGGACTTTTTGCCGGCTCTTTACCTTCGGAATGAGTCCTTTCCTTAGCGCAGGCGCTTGCCAAAATCCCTTGGGGAGCCAGGCATCTTGAGGTCGCGGGTCTGGATGCTTTGTCCATTCCCCATCCCCAGATCTATGCTTCGCCCGTTACAAACGAAAAAGCCTGCATAGAGACTGCACCGAAGCAATTGGCCTTGGAGCCAACATCCGGCAATACTGAAAACAAATCTCGGAGAGCGGGTCGCTTAAACTAAGGCATGGCGCGCCAGCGCCCGTGCCACGGCGACAGGATCACAGGTTTGTGCTCCTGACTCTTCCTCCATGTTCAACACCTGGTGTGCCAAAGCTCTGGCAACCGTTGTGATCTCCACACTGGCGTTGGAGCTCACACATGCATCCTGGCTTGCCGGACTCTCTTCAGGCAAGTTTCCTTCCTCAAGGGCCATGAGATGACGTGCTAAGGCGGACGCCACCTCTTCACTTGCATCTCTCTGCCAAGTTCGCCCATGCGGGCTGCAGAGAGGGGGGCCGGGAGCTTGGCTTTCTTCGGGCAGCTTTCCTTCCTCAAGGGTCATGAGATGTCGCGCCAAGGCGGCTGCAACCTCCTCACTTGCCTCTCTCTGCCAAGTTCCAGCTTGCCCATGGGGGCTGCAGGGCGGGGGGCCAGGAGGTTCATCCGACAAGGCACTTCCCAAGCCGGCGCTTTCGGGGAAAGACAACAAGTGCCGCGCCAAAGCCTTGCTAGTGAGCTGCGTGTCCTGGTGCAGTTGGAGCAGGTGTTCGGCCAAGGCCTTAGCAGCCGCCATTTCTGCTATCTCGTCCGTTTCACGGGGCTCCTCGAGGATCGACGCAGGGCCGCCTCCATCCACTCCAGATCTCCAGGACCGATGGGTACTCTGTGCACCCGGTGGAGTCGAGAAGTTGAGAACGTGGCGTGCGAGTGCGATTCTGGCAGCAGATATGAAGTCCTCTGTGGGAGTCGTGGGTCCGCACTCCTCGGTTGGGGCGCTGCTGGCGCCACCGGCACCCCCCTCCACGATGGCAGGAACCTCCAGGTCGCAAGCTGTTCCACCGCCCATACAACCTCCACCCTCTTCTGCCATGTCTTCGAAGCCCTTGACTTCGCGTCCATCTTCAGGAAGCAGGCTGCTGCAACCTGGCGCACCGAATGCCCCCCAGAATTCCTTCGAATGAACCTTGCCCCAACCATCGGAACTTGCCAACCAGAAGTTCAGAAGAATCGCCTCGCCTCCGGAGCAGCCGCCGGCGCTGTCCCCTCCTTCAGCTGGTGCGGCATCTCTGCCTGTCCGATGATCATTGGTACTGTCTTTATCAGCATTGCTATTGCTACAGCTTCTATTATCATTATTAATACCACTATTGAAGCTACTGTTGTTATCATTAAACTACAGGGACCAGAGTTTTGGGGCGCAGGTTCTCTTCTTTATGCTGAATGCCAGGACTCGCATCATGCTGCCCAGACAAGATCCCGTGTGACAACAAAGATGTCCGACAAATCTAGAATACTGCAGTCTTTACAGAAATAAACAGTATGTATTCTCGATTGTATACAATATAATATCGTATTTCATGTAGTATACAGTCTATAGTACAAGAGTATAGTGGAATGGCAATCGTAAGCTGGAAAGCCAGGCTCTGCAGCAAAGCGCGCTTGCCTCCTTCCTCGGCGGCCGTCTGCAGCATTTGCCTTGCCAAGGCCTTTGCCTCGGATCAAGGCCGTCGGAGTCTCGGAAACCGTAATGCAGGGGCCTGAATAGATAGAACAGGGTTCCTTTTGAATTCAAGGGTCTATGAGGGCTACTATAAGGATGCTTAATGTAGGGGCCTTGACGATTGGAATAAGATTTTGGGGCCCATTATACTATAATTATACTAAGGAACCCCCAAATTAGTATTGGTAATTATTCTGGCGCCTATATATTAACTTCACCCAGAGTTCAGACTTGACCTGCCGTAAGAACCACGTTCGCTGTGCGACAAGGGTTTGCAAGTATGAGCCAGTATGGTGCAACGAACAGCGCAGCAAAGTCGTGTAGCGGTCCTGAAATGCTGGGCTACGCGTCCTATGTCGGCGGCAGGGACAGCGTCACTACGCATGTGAAGGGCGAAGGATCTGCATTCTCTCCCACCATAGAGCATGCCAAGGCGAACACTCAGGAGAACTTCAGAGAAGCCGAAGGTGCAGCAACCGCGAGCTTCTTTGCTAGACTGCTAGACGAGCTGCTGCAATCTGAACATCGGCACCTAGCTCAGTCTCCCCTGCAATATCGGCAGGCAGTGAGAGCACATGCCGCGCAAGCGCCTCACTGACGAGCTCCTCAGCTGTATATACACAATGGCAATTCGATTGCTGGAACAGACACAGCATGCAGATTGATAAACAAGCTACGCCAGTCTCGACCCACAAAGACCATCCTAAAGTCTGTTTTGTGAGAGCTCCAACGCCGGCGAATTTCGAATCCCCTCAGTGTGAGAAGCCTTGTAGCGTCGCCTTCGCTATTCTCAGAAAGATAGGTGTTGAATGCTGCCGACAGCAGTGTGAGCCTATAGCAGTCGGCTTTAGGGTTTAGGTTTATGGTGTGCGGCAGCAGTAGTAGACGAAGCAGAAGCAGTAGCTGCCGCAGTCTCAGTTGCATTGGCAGCAGCAGCAGCATAACCGAAGAAACTACAAGAACAAGACGGCTGTCCAAAAGAAGCCACTGCAATAGCTTGAATAACAATACCAACAAAAATACTAACAGTAAATGATAATTGAATAACAACAATAATAACAACAGCAATAAGTCCGAGGATCCATGTCTTGTGCCGGGCCCTGCAACGGCTGCTCCAGGAGGTGCCCCGCGAGGGCGAACGCGACTTGGAAGCTTTGCCTGAGCTTCGAGCGCGTGTAAGTGTATGATGACACTAATGATAACACTAATAGTATACGAATAATAATAATAATGCGAATAATGATAATACTACTAATGATAATAATACTAATGATAATAATAATTGTAATAATATTATACAGCTGTGGGGGTTCAGGCACGTTCAGTGGTACCTGCTCAGCGGCTTGAGGGTTCAGTACAAGGAAGTGAGCCAAGGGTATGTCTCGAAAGGCACGGAATCGTACCCTGCCTCTTTTATTCATTCTAACGGTATAATCACCATGATTGTTATACAATTGTTTTATTGTAGAGCCACCCACCCCCCCACCTCCCACGCCCCCACCCCACACCCCCCCAACCCCCCCTCCCCCCCCGCCCCCCTCCCCTTTCAGGCTGACCACTCTCCCTCAAGACAGGTGGCTCTTCCAGAAGGCGGACATGTCGGGACAGGGCCTCCGCCACCAAAGGCGTGTCGGCATTGGCTTGCACCTCATCTTCGATTCCCGTGAGCCCTCAGCCCGAAATATCGCTAACTGCGGACCTGCCCTCCTTCCCTGACCACCTGCCTTGTCCACATCGCCCTGCATGTGAAGGTGCAGCGCCAGTGCCTTGAAAGAAGGCTTCACACCAGAAGCTCGAACGCTGTCCTCGGACCTCTCCTGAAAATCCCAAAGGATGATGTCAGGCAGTGGGAACGTCGGCTATCTTGCGGCACATGCGACTGCTGCGAAAGGCATTCTGAACGGCTTGTAACTGCCGTAAAAGGCTGCAGTGCGCGAGACTCTGAACTGGCGAAGACGACGCCTGCCCACCCCCCCCCGCTCTTGAAGCTTGGCAGGCAAAGAACGGCCGCCACGGTATCCGAGTTCTTTGCCAATGTCTCCGCCTGCTCGGTGCAGTTGTCTTCGGGGTTTGTCCACGATTATCAATCAGATAGGACGGAAAGAGAGTCGGATGGTTGGCAGTTCGCCGGAAACTACATGGATTCTGAAAGTAATTATGAAGCCGGAATCAGGGCAACATGTTGAGCGTGCCAGCCTCCACTTGGCGAGCGTGTACATCCAAGGCGTGTGACACCAAGTCCATGTTCTTGGCAAGGCCTCCGTGCCAATACGGCTGTCACTTCAGTTTCAAAACTCCGACAAAAAAGCAGGATCACGAGGAGTGACTAGGTACTCAAGACGAAGATGTGGTCCACCGCCGTACCGTTAGACTCTGGACTTTACACCTTCGAACTCCAAAACCCAACGCCCCACGTCCAGCTTCAAGCAAAGCTACTCCTCGCAGTAAACTCCTCCAAGTGCCGTTCCAAACGATCCCGATGGCAGTTGGAAGCCTGCACCAGTGGGAGTCTGGCTGGCTTACCGACACAAAAGCGATGTCCTGCTTTGCCTTGGAATTCACGGCACGAGCGGCGCGAAGGTGATTCCAGTTGTGTTGGAAGGGGGGGAGCCCTGCAAGTGTCAACTAGGTCAAGCATTCAGGGACAACATTCTGTGGACACCATTTATGTGAAGCTGAGAATGTGATCTGTGAGCCGGAGACTCTGACCAACAAGCTCGTTCTACCCTCTTGCTCGGCCAGGCTTTCAGAAGTTTGAAGCAGGAACTGGATTAGTGAGTGTCCAACCACACAACGAGCGCACTTTTTGGTCTGAGCCCAAGACGTCTGTC